TGGGTTCTATTCCTGGCTTTGATACTAAATTGCTTTGTGACCTTGGAGAAGTTACTTCATCTCGCTCTGCCTCTGTTTCCCCATGTGTCTAATGGAGATCATGATACTTATCCACCACTCAAAAAAATGTTGAGATGTTCATATGAAAGGCTATCTGGGAGATGCTGGGTGCTTAGCACCTCTAGAAATCAGAGCACTGATTTAGCTGCCTAAATATGGATTTAGGTCTCTAATTTTAGGCACCAGTGTTTAAAAAATGATGGCCAAAGTAGTTCTAAATAATTCAGTTAAGAGCCCAAATCACCAGTCAAAGTCATGGGCAGGCACCAGATTTAAAATGCAATAGCTGAAAATCATTTTCTCAGGCACGGAGCTGCCGACACCTGACTTCAGAAGTCTGAGCTCTCTCACCAACCCCTGGCTCAGGGCAGAAAGATGTTGCCCTGCCATTGGCTGTGACCAGCGGTGGCAGGAGAAGCACAGAACCCTGAACTTAGATCCTGGCAGGTTTAAAAAATGTTCAACTCAACTTGAAACCTCAGTCGGATGAAGTGGTGCCACGGCGACCTTGAGAAATCCTGGGCATGTCTTGCTCTTACCTTCCGGGACACTGTAGCGCTCCCAGCCGGAAGAGGCAGGTGTACTGCCGGGCGACAGGCTGTTCTCATCTGCATCTGCAACAGCAGAAGCACAATGGCCACATCACCCTTCTCCACATCATTACCATGTGTCAGCATCACCCTGGCCTCAGAGTGAGGGTCACAACCCGGCCCCCTTGCCCTCAGCATGACCATCCTCCTCCGTAACAGCCAGCACTGCCTGTCTGTCTGCTAGCTTGTTCGTCACCCTTGGCACCACAACAGACTACCATCTCCCTCCTCCTCCTGGTTACCATGGCTTGGCCAGACTTCCGCTGGTGTACGCTGGGTAGCTGCATTGGTTTCAATGGAGTTCTGCTGATTTACACTAGCTGAGGATGTAGCTACCTTTGACACCGGTCTCCAAATCAAAACCATTGCCATGGCTACACTGAGAGGGAAAGCGCCATGTCAGGATTACACAGTGTGACCGTTCTGTTAACCACTGTCATGGTTCTGCCTCACTGCTGTGGCACCTCCTGCTGGTCGTTCTGGGAATTAGCGCAGTCTTTTCGCAGGGCGCTCTCCTCTGGAGGTGTCTTGCCTGCCGTCACTTCTGCTCTGGACCCACGTCGCCTCAAGAATCGCGGCATCCTCTTCAGGACAGAGCCCTCCGGCCGTGCCCCATTCTGTTCTCCCCCCACCCTTCTGGGGGAGCAGCAGTCCTCTGCCCAGCCACTCGCCTCTGTGGCAAACTGAGGCCCTTCACTGGCCACTCCCCTCAGTGGCAAGTCAGGGGGGAGACCCGGGCCCACCCACTACTCCGGGTCCCGACCCAGGGACCCTGTAGGTGGCAGCCATGCTCTGTCCGTTTCCACTGTCCCCACCGTCCATTTCTCTGGGCCACTTTCCCGTAGCCCTAGCACCTCTGCCCTATATCCGGGCTTCAGTCTTTCAGCCAGTCAGGCTGGAGCTCCCTCTCGCTCCCCTGACCCAGCCCAACACTGCTCTGTCCCGGGTGCTGGCAGTTCCCTCAGCCCTTCAGGGACCCAGTCCCTTCTCCCAGGGCTCCCAAGGGGGAACTGACTCCTCTGCCCTGCAGCTCTCTTTATATATGGGCCTGCTCTGCCGATTGGCTGCTCCTTGCAGCCCCTCACTGATTGGCTGCCTGCTGCGCAGCCTCGCCAGGGCTGCTTTTAACCCTGTCTCCACCACTGTGGGGCAGACACCCCATCACAACCACATTCAGCACCCTTGGGCCCCTCTTCCGCCTTTACCAAACCCTAATCCTGAACAGAGATCACTGCTTCCCAACCCATCAACCCCCGCCAAATCCAGCACACCCATCACCACTGCATCGTCATCACTATTTGTTCCATGTGCACCTCCACCACATCTACTTTCTCTTCATGGCGCCTGATGGGCTCCTTCAATGGACCTCAGCTCTGCTTAGGACAACCAGAGCGTGAAGGGTGAAGGGGAGGAAATTCCAACCCCAGAAGATGCATTCTAACATGTCTTGGTGGAGCTGGCTGTACCGTCCTACTGAACTGAAAGGCGTGAGCACCAGAGGCTATTTAGCCTTTTAAAAGGAGGCTCCCAAAGGGTCAACATTGCTGTGGCTCTCTGCAGATCTGAATCCACCAATCAGGCTCTCATGACCTTCATTCTAGTCTACTCTAATTAGGGTGACCAGACAGCAAGTGTGAAAAATCGGGACAGGGGATGGGGGTAATAGAAGCCTATATAAGAAAAAGCCCCAAATATCGGGACTGTCCCTATAAAATCGGGACATCTGGTCACCCTAACTCTAATCCGGGAAGAGAGTGTGGCCTAGAACCTGGAGCAGAGCAGGAGTCATTCCTACTCCCATCTCTACCAATGAGTCACTATTTGACCTTGGGCAAGTCATAAAAATCAGTTTCCTCTTCTGTAAAATGGGGACAATCCCGTTTTCCAGAATGCTGTGTGGTTTAAGGTTTGGAAACTGCTCAGGAATGTTGGAATGGCAGGTGCTACAGGAATGCGCATGCCAAGACAGTCTGTATTTTGTTCATTCCAGGAAAAAATCTAGAATTTATAAGCCTCAAACTCTGAAATAAACCCAGTGGGTTTTGAGAAATGTGATTTATCTGAGCCTGTAAAGAAAATGGGAAGCCAGTTACAGCATCATCAGACATGTTATTGGCTGCATCTGGTTGGCTTTTTTTAATTTGCTTTAATGGTGTTTTTCTCTCTTTTAGCCAGAGATTTCCTCCTCTCTCTCTTGCTCTCGGTGATGGGAAACTTTCAGTATCTCAGAACTGTTTAGTATCCAAGCCGTTGTGCTCATCCTCCCAATGCAACCCGTATCTCCCCCGTGCTGCCAGGGAACCTGGAGTACACACTGGGACAGCGCTAATGATCAAGTGCTGATAACTGAGCTTTTCAGGTCCAATTACCCCTGAGAAGCTGGGTAGGTCGGAAAGAAGCTGTCATGCCCACTGGATTATTTAGCAAGTCTAACAATGAGTGGTGCCAAGGTCTAATCTTTAGGGAGTGCAGGAGGCATGGAGCTGAACCTAGAGCAAACAAGGGCTGGTGTGGCAAATTTCTGAAGCCTTTATGGAGGGGCCAAAACCTCGTCAAAGTACAACTCTGAACAGTGGGCATACTGGGATACTGAGGCATCCAGTATCAAGGCACTGGGCAGGGGGATGGGCTGGACTCAGCTACAGTCATAGATTCATAGATTCTAGGACTGGAAGGGACCTCGAGAGGTCATCGAGTCCAGTCCCCTGCCCGCATGGCAGGACCAAATACCGTCTAGACCATCCCTGATAGACATTTATCTAACCTACTCTTAAATATCTCCAGAGATGGAGATTCCACAACCTCCCTAGGCAATTTATTCCAGTCATTATGGAAGGGTCTTTCATTGATAAGATGTGGGGGTGCGAGCTAGGAGAAGCGACAACCCAATTTTAAAGACCATCAACCTCAGGCTGTGGAACTCACTACCACAGGAAATTGTGGAAGCAAATCCTGCAGTAACATTCAGCAAGGATTAGGTGTTTAATTGTACGATTCCGAATACCATCTGTGGGTCCCTCTAGCTAGGGCAGAAATGACTAGAGATGACAATCCTCACAGTTCAAAGAATAAATAGATGATTAGTAGGGGTCAGGGAGAATCCTCCTCCTCCACAGTGGTAGAGGATTGCACAATTTGGTGCATTGTGAGGAGGTTATACCCTCCTCTGGACCACCTGGTATTGCCCGGGGCCAAAGAGAGGATACAGGATTAGATGGACCATTGGTCTGTTCTAGCTTGGCAGATCCGACATACCTGTGTATACACGTGTCAATCAGTGGAGTGTAATTGATGCGAATAACTTGAACTGTTTTCTCCACTGACTTCAATAAAGCTAAGCCTATTTCCGTAGCTAAGGATCCAGCCTGCCTGTTGTTTGTATTTATTGTTATGTTTCAATACATATAAGAGGAGCTGGCAAGTGGCCACTCTTCCCTTCCAGGGGCTGATCATAGAAACGCCTGCATTACAACATAACAACATCTGGATGTAGAGCTAGTTCAAAACATTATTGTGCGACCCCCTAGACAAGCCCTCTGCAGAGACCTAGCTCAGCTGATTCTAGATATATTCAGAGAGAGAAAACATATTTTTCAGCACAGTTACTTTCCAAACAATCATGAATTCCAGCTCTCTCCTTGTCCCTGAAGGAGAAGATCATTTTAATTCAGCAGCAGTCATGACTGCGTGAGACAAAGTCCAACCTAACTTATCTTCATTAGTAGGCGATTTACAGAGACAGTCAAGTGTCTGAAGTCCCCATGTCTCTAATTACAGAAGGCTCAGCCCCTCGTGTCCCCTGTGTTGTGCTGCCAGTTAACCTCAGAGCGTCAGCAAGAGTTACTTCTCGTGAGCTGAGCGTTTCAGAATAAGTTCTTTTATAGATGCCCTGTTTCAAGAGATGGATTCCAGCCAGAAACATGGTTAGCTGGCCAGACCACATGCTCTGCTCCTCATCAGACCTTTCATATGGCAGTAGCTGGGTATATTCCTTTCCAAAGAGCGGTCATCTTGGCCATAGGAAAGACAGAGACAATTCTATAGCAGATACAGGTGTGATACAGGAGGGTCAGGGAGCAGTGGGAGAGGGGAAGTATATAAGCCCTAGGCTAATTAAGGCGTGGTTCCCTGTAGACTAGGGAGGGTTGCTACAGGTTAATTGGAGCACCTGTAGTCAATGAAGGCCCTGTTAGCAACCTAATAAAACCCCCTGCTTCAGGCAGTCAGGGGAGAAGGAGGAAGGAGAGAGGACTAGAGCTTGGAGGGTGCTGTGAGACTTGGAAGATCAGAAAACTGGAGTAAGGGAGACCCTCCCCCAGCGTTTAAGGACCGAAGGTACCCCACCCAAGGGGGAAGAGGGTAAGAACCCGCAGGGGTTGAGAGGGACTGGGGCTCAGAGTAAGGAGCAAACCCAGACTCCTCCCCTGCTTCCCTCTTTTACCACCTTCCCGGGCCACTAGTGGGGCCCTCGGTGCCCCAAGAGCAGGGGCAAGGGGTGGCATCTTCGCCCCACACCAAGAAAAGCGCAGGACCCACCATACTACATCGGCCATCTTGTCACATGGGGCATAGCCTAGATGGACTGCTTTCATCTACCCTGGAGCTGGCCAGGGCATTGTAACTCCGGGTTTGGGGCTGTTGGCCTGGTGCTGCTCAGATTACAGATTCCTGAGGTGAAATCCTGGCCCGATTGCAGTAAATGGCAAAACTCCCACTGGCTTCACTAGGGTCGGGATTTCATCCTGAAAATGCTATCATTGCTTACAGGTGTTAAACTCTGCTGTTACTGCCCTTCAAGAAACAGGCAGCAGATCTAAAGAAAAGCCAGACGAAAAAAAATGACCAGAGGCAAAAAATGGAGCGGGCTGACAGCATGTGTCAGTGCATAGATCATACCCACGGGCTCTAATCACTGATTACAGGACTGAGCCCCAGAAGGGCTGCAATCTTACTCATGCCGTAAAATCCATCGTCTGCGCCATCCTGGCCGCAAGTCGACTGGGTACGTCCGAGTCCGACGGAGAAGACTCGGTGCCTTCTGCTTCCTGAACTTGAGCTCCGCTGGCCACCTTGTTTGGACGCTGGCCCTTGGGGTGAACAAAGGGAATTCACAGCATTACTGTTCCCAATGGACAGACAAACACAATGCCAATCAAGTGAGTTGGGTGAAATCAGTCACTTCACATCATCCAAGCCTAGCAGTGGCACCCTCCTTCGCCCTGGGACCGGCTACTGTACTCCTGTCTGGCCCTGGGGACTCCTTCCTCATCAGTAGGCCGCTCTGTGGTGCTCACTCTATGCTAAGAGTCTGGAGCCCTCTGAGAGCCCACCACTCCCCTAACTGGCCACAGGCTCTCGAGAGGTACGTTAGTCACACTCCTGCTCGCCAACCAAGCACATCCCCTTTCCTGCTGCAATGACCCCTTTGTCGTAGGCTGCGGGCCTTCAGAACAGCCCAGGCTGAGAGACCCCTTGTAGCAGGGTGGTCACCCACTCCTGCCTGGGAAGGGTTCAAGCCAGCCCTGCGAGGGCTGGGGCTGTGGAAGGAAAGACTTGGGCTGATTGGGGAAACAGCCGCAGCTGGGCCACGGCCCAATCAGGCCTCAGATGGCCTGTATAAAGAGGCTGGGAGCCAGGAGCTCAGCAGTCTCTCTCTGCATTCAGAGAGAGAAGGGCCTGGCTGCAGGGAGCTCGAGACAGGGTACCTGAGTGGAGCAGGGCTGGGGAAAGGCAGAGGAGCTGGGGAGCTCCACCCTGGAAAGCCCCAGGTTGCGGCCAAAGGTACTGGGGGTTGCAGAGGGCAGCCCAGAGGTAGACCAAGGCAGCAGGTCCAAACCCAACCTTGCCAGTGATGAGTGGCTGATACTGCAGTCTGCCCCAGGGAGTGAGGGCTAGTTGGTGACTGGCAGTGGCCTTATTCTGAGGCAAGGTGGGGTTAGTGGGTGGGGGTTCCCCTGGGAGGGGAGACCCAGTGTGTGTGGGTACTGCCAGGGGGCAGCACCCAGAGCAAGGGGAACTGGGGTCTTGGGAGGGACATGGGGGCCAGTAGTAACAAGGCGGATCACCAGCCTGCAGAGGGCGCTCTGGGCTGGATTGAGCTGATTCCCGGAGTAATCAGCAGGAGGCGCCGCAGGGGTGAGTCCGACCCCTTCATCTCCAGGCCCCAGCTGGCTGTGGTCAGTCAGGACTGCAGGGTGGAGAGGAAAACCCCTGGCCTCCAAGCTGGGCAGACACACCCTTGGGCTCCAATGCTGGAGAGCTCAACCATAGCCCAAGACTAAGAACCTCTGAGGCCAGGATATATGGACACATGAACACCATGGAGACCTGCACTGAAGGAGTAGCTGGAGATCCAGGGCCCAGCTGCCCTGAACCTCACAGAAGAGAATGGATTTGTTATTACTACCTATATTGGCAGGCCTGTTTTTTTTTTTCCCTGCCCAAGGTCTGAGGTGCTGTCAGAACCATGTTTCCCCGGTGACACCCCCAGGCAGGCCCCTCACACTCCTGTGCAATGGGCCTCAGGAGATTAGCAGGGAGTGTGGGAGGCATGCCAGCCCCAGCCTAGTAACGATGCTATGCTGGAGTGTCCTGTTACCTGCATTGGCATATTCGACCACGGTTGGCAGGTAGCCACTGGTGCTCAGGTCCACCGGGACAAAGGCCGTGTACTTGCTGATGACATTGCAGGCTCGGCTGGTTTGGACAGCGTTTACCTGGTACCGCCTCCCAGACCCTGTTGGGTGAGAGATGTCAGGTTACTATTCGTGAGTTTTGTGGGTTCAGTCCCTGTCCCGGGGCCTGGATCACAAAAGCCACCTACTCTCCTCACTGGCACTCTCAGCAAAGAGACCAAGGACTGAACTGACCATGGGGACTGGCATATCCCTTGGCCCAGAGCTGTGGTCTCTCTGGGCCAGGATCAAGGCACAGTGGCATGGGGCAGCATGGGGAAACTTCTGTGGCTGCTGCAAGCCATAGTCCTTTTTGGTGGCTGACGAGATAGTGCCATTCTCCAGGGCCAGACACTGCATCCTCCAGAGCTGTCAGTCCAGCCCCCGATCACTGAAGTCACACACAAAAGAAAGCAAGCCCAATATTACCACCCAGGGAGAAGCACGCCAGGCACTTGGCCAGTTTGGAGCTTCCTCCCAGGTGGGACAGAGCTGAGAACAGGGGAACGGCCTAGGGAAAGAAGGAGAGAGATGGCTTTGGTGCGAGGGGCCGTCCATTAGATTCCCCACGCTGCTCATTCTCCCTCCCTCCCCTGGTTTAGTGTCCTAGAAAGCCGTTCTCACTGTGTGCCCTCAAAGACCCCATCCCAGCTTTTATTCAAGAAGCCGGGCAGGTTGTCTGGGAGTGCTGAGTCAGCTTTAGGGAGACTCAATCAAGCTGCCAGCTCTTCTGTACCTTAATATTGAGCCGTAGGGTCTTAACTCAAGGATCCCAGTGATCTGAGGCACTGGGCCCCTTTGAATGGCCCGATGTTTCTTTGTCACTGTAGCACAGATGGGATCCCAGTCAGCGCTTGCTGGATCTGGCACCAGTTGGTATCAGTGCCTTTCGAAAGCCCTTGACTGTTTCCGAATCCATCCGTACCGCACCACTGGAAAGTGATGCACCGCAATGCATTGCTGTAAAACACCTCTGAGCCCACCAACAAACCAAGCCACCGTGAAACAAACCATCCCCGCTTGGGTCAACAGGCCACGCCTAGAGGTGTCACGCCTCACATGCTTCCAATTAGCAGCCCAACCCAGCTTCAGCTGTGCCCCTCTGATGGGGTGTGTACCCCACACAGCAATGAAAAGGTTAATGTGGACCCAAGAGCTAATCTGTTGCCTGGATACAGTGTGGGGGGAAGGGATGGCCCAGGCTTAATTAAAGATGAAGCCCAGCTGGAGTGGTGACTATAAAGAAGGGAAGTTAAGCTTAGAAGGGGGCTGCAGGGAGGAACTCTGCGATCCCTCTCTGGGACTAGAGCAGTGATACTCAGACCACTGCGGTTCAGGAGTCGAATTAGCGATAAGCCCCAAAAAGCCCCAGTCGTGTGGATTCATTGTTTCATTTACAGTACATTCTAGTCAGATTTAAACAGGGGAAATATTTTGCTTTTTATATACATATATAATAGTCTCACGGCAACTAAGTTAATAACTTAGTGCAAGTTGATAACTTAATTGGTTAATAACATAGTAAAAGCGCCCGGTGTTTTAATAGCATGTGCTGCAAAGAGCCGTCGGAGACACATTGAAAAGCAGCATGAGTATCACTGGACTAGACAGTGGAGCGGTTGGGAAGGTCAAGGAGGACGCTCAGGGGAAGAGCTGACACTGGGATCCTCTTGTGAGTAGACAAGTCTGGCAGAGGCCAGGAGAGAGTAGGCGCAAGCTCTGGTGATGAGTCCTGATAGCAGGGCAGGATCTGGAGCCCTGGGAGGCATTTCACTGAGGAGCTGTGGAAGGTTAAGCCCACGGAGAGCAGAAGTTGGGTTAAGTTGTACTTTTGGTTTGGGATTTCTGGGGGGATTCCAGGGGACAGCCATGCGAGTCCTGGCCCTGAAAGCAGGGTGAACTTCGGGGGACAGGGGGAGAGACCAGCTGACCAGCTGCAGTCGGTAGAAGCCCAGGGAGGCAGCAGCAGCAAGGTCTCTTGACAGCTGATTATAGGGCCCCTGGATTGGAGCCAAGTGTAATGGTGGGGCCTGGGTTCCCCTACCCATCACTGGGAAGGTGGTGTGCATCCCTGGACAATACAGGATAAGGAGGTTTGAGAGCCCTGAGACAAAAATGAGGACCACAGGGCCTCCAGTGAAGGCAGAAAACCTTTTGTAAGCGCACTGAAGTTTTAGTTGTTGGCCTTTCTGATACCCAGCAGAGATGGGACTAAAGCGTGACCAGGTTGGGGGACGGAGTCACGAGAAGAGGCAGAGCATCGTGGGACCAGAGTGACCAACAGGAGGGGGCGCTAGAGAGAGAAGAGCTGCTATGCCAGCCGCAGCCCAGCGCACCCACAGAGAGTCAACTCTTCAGTCGCTGCCCATGCATACCCAGCTCCCATCTAAATAACAGCATCTTCTCCTTTCCTCGTCAGCATGTGTGTCCCTTTCCAGGATTCTCGCTTTGTTTCTTAATGCGTGCATTTGATTTTACTTCTCCATGGCAATTTCATCCCTGGGCTACTTCAAGAAAGAGATAAAGAACGGAGAGATGCTACCAGCCTGCAGTAGAGGACGTTGCTAGCTGGCAGAGCTCAGTATTGTATGTAGGGTGACCAGACAGCAAATGTGAAAAATTGGGACACGGGGTGGGGGGGTAATAGGAGCCTATATAAGAAAAAGACCCAAAAATCGGGACTGTCCCTATAAAATCAGGACATTTGGTCACCCTAATTGTACGCTGGCTGCTGTGCCAGTGTCTCCACGGCCCTCTCTCCCATCTCACTGGTTGTGGTTCTGCAGTGCCAAAGGCCGCCTCCTTATTAACTCCCGAGGCCCAAATTCATCCCTGGTGTAAGTCCATTGAAATCAGTGGATGCCTTTTTGGTTCATATGTCTTTGGGAGAGTGTGTTTTCAGACCAATTCTGTGCTGAGTTACCGTTCATGCACGTCCCCGGAGTTCAATGGGTTTGAACCGGAGCAGAATTTGGCTCTCTGACTCCCACCGATGGATGGGCAAAGAAAAAATAACCCTCCCCAGTCACTGAAGCAACACCCCAAACTCAAACCACAGCCAAACAGGCTCAGATCTGTCGGTTTCCTTTCCCAGCCCACTCATTTTCATGTCAGAGGCCTCTGCACTTCTGTGCCAGAACTGCGAAATAGCAGAAATATCACAAGGGGACTTGCGATCAAGAGATCCCCAGCCCAGGAGGTTTGGCTAATTCACAGACTTGTTCAGAGACGTGTCCAAACAGCTCCACTAGGAGTGATAATCGGGGTTAGATTTCCTGGTAGAGTCTCAACTTCTGGATACTTCTTTGAACGGAACCGTTTGATGTTCCATTCAAAGCCAGGCCCTGAGACTTGCAACTCCATGGCGGAGGGGGCTGAACAGCAGGTGTTGTGTTATGGTTCTCAAAAGGCCTAAAAGCGTTTGATTTGGGCTCACGACTCAACGTGACTAACCCTCTAAAAATATAACTAGCAGCCCTCTGTGGGAAGCAGGGGAGTGTGGGAGAAGGTGAGAGGGAGAGGAGAAGGAGCGTGCTAACATGCAGTAGGGATATTTAATGAGCAATTAGGTGAGCTGGAGAAAAGCAGAGAGGGCATGAGGCCAGTCTTGGGGGACTCTCCTCAGATCATCACATGGAGCATCAACACTTGGCCACGGTGCATCTCCACCATGTGACCTTGCGTTAACATGTGATAACACTGAGGGCCAGATCCCCAGCTGCCGTAAATTGGCGTGGTATAATTGAGGCTACTGCAACTGCAATGGTTTATACCAGCTCTGGGAATCTGGCCCTCCATTCTCACTGAGGCTGGCTGGCAAGGACGCCGGCATTACCGTGTTCGATTTCACATTCCTTCTCGGCCAGCAGCTCGAAATCCCGGATGATGGACTTGGCCGCCAAGTGGTGGAAGGTCTCGTTCCACAGATCCCCTTCGCCGTTCTCACGGCTCTCTCTGTCTTGGAACAGGGGCCGGATGTCAAAGGTGATTTCCCACCGGACAGGCTCGTTACCCCTTAACCCCTTCACCACCGCCTTGCAGAATGGCCCGCGGG